AAATTTCTGATTGTAGCCTGTGGTGGTAGCACACTCCTGTAATCCTAGCACTTGGAAAGCTGAGGTGGAAGGATTGCCGTGAGCTCCAGGCCAGCCTGGGCTGCATGGTGAGTTCAAGCCACCTGCACTACACAGGGAGAGCCTATCTCACGAATACATAAATGACACTAAAATTTTCCTCATTATAGCTAGGCATGATTGTATATGCCTGTTGGAGGCCAGCCTGAAACTAGCAAGACCCTGTCTCAAAAAACAAAATCAAAACACCAATCCTAATTACAACTAAGTGAAAGAGTAAACTTGGAGAATCTCAAGGCACAAGGATTAAGAACAGCAACACAAAACTTACACTGTGTGTATTTGTACAAAATTATTTATGAATCTGAAAACAAAAGTTAGTTTGGAAGAATAATTCTTTATTATATGCATATAAAATGTTAAATTGGCTCTTTGGTTTATTATTTTATCCCTTTTTTAAGCATTAGAGAATGAAACTGAATATTATAATTTTTAAATAACATCATAGGCAAGTCATAAAATAGTAACGACTGCATATCCTTTGGCTGCGGGCACATTAGGGGGCCACAGGTACTCACAGGCCCAACATCCATGGGGTCGTAGCTGGCCAAGGACTGCCCTTACACAGTTACAGAGGACTGCATCCGGAATTCAAGCCCTTTCATTTCAATCTTTATCCGATCTGTGCTGAACATCGCTGTGGTTAAATAGAAGACTCCTTCCACCTCTGCACACTCTGTCGGACGCAGGCCGATCCCAGGAACTTATGGTGAGACTGTTCGCCATCTACCCTAAGCACCCCACCAAGAAGTACTTTGCAGGAGTCCATGGACGATAGAAGCACAACCTAGATCCCTGAACTTTACTATCAAAGTCTACCTAGCTCACACCATCTTCCCACCATTATTACCATGAGGAGAAAGAGAAATACACTGCCGGACATGGTTGCTCCTGCAAACAAGGGCGGTGTCCGTGTGGCGCTGCAGCACTCGTCCTGGAAGCGCTGCTTGCTCAGGCTCTCCTTAGCTCTGGGAGCTGCCTAGCCCAGGAACTGTGGGAAGTTGTTACGAATGCATTCCGACGTCAGAAAAGACGCAGTGCAGAGGAGAAGGAAGCTGTGGCACCAAGCCCACGTCAGCTGTCCGGGCGGAGGAGACAAGCACTCTGCGCTCTGCTGCTGCATGAACACGACAGCTCGGCAACTGTTCCTAAAGATGTGCCCAGGAGCTGTGTTTCCACAAACTATGGGAGCAGCTGTACAAGGTGAGGAGCCTCTGCTCGGCGCCCCGGGGTGGCCAAGGCCAGCTGCCTCCGTCACTTCAGCACCAGAAGGTTCCCGGTCCAGCGCTCAGTGGGAGACACTGGGCTCAGTCTAGCCGGCTTAGCTCTGCGTTCTGGACTCTGGAACATTCCTTCAGCACAGCGCTCCAGAGTTACTGCCGCGAAGTTCACCAAGAGCAAAGCGAGCGAGCTTCCCCGCCCACGGGACCCCAGCTCTCGTGTGTTTTAATGATCTGACATGGCTGTTTTTAAAGTTATCTAAATGCAGAGGTTGCATTTGCCCCAGCTCTTTGCCTTCTAGCTATCTTTCAAAAGAGTTAAAAGCATTCTAGCAGTTGCACATACACACCCAGGCTGACAGCAGCACAGTGTATGTTTTCAGCAGCGGTGACATAGCAGCACCATCTTTTCGTTTAAATCTTGGAAACAGCCTATATGCCTATTGATAGAAGAATGGATTTAAAAAATGGAATTTAATACAACAGAGTACTACTGGGCCTTACAGGATAAAGTTGAGTCACTCTTGTAGGTGAACAGATGCACCTTGAGCCACAATTTTAAGTGAAATAAACCAGACACACAAGTTTAAATATATTTTGTATGTATGAGAAACTCTAAGGGTAAATGAGAGCAAAGCGGCGAACAGACATTGAAGAACGCATATGAATGGGAAGGGGAACAAGGGAGGAGTAGGGAAGCACGGGGAGAGGGATTTTTAAAATAAAGAATGGAAGGGGCTGGAGTGATAGCCCAGCGGAATAAGTGCTTGCGGGCAAGCACAAGGTCCTGAGTTTGAACTCTGGTACCACCATTTTTTTTTAAAAAGCAAAAGGTATTTTAAATATTTTTATGTGAACATAATTGTCTGCCTTTCCTGTACTATGACAGTTCCCTCAAAAAGCTTCAGTCTTATGCTCTTAGCTTATTAGGGAAAATTTCAAGCGGATCATGTTCAGTTTTCTAGAACAGTAAAGTCCTGTGTCACTGGCTCTCCAGTGCTGAGAGCCCGAGCTGGTTTCTGCGACTGGTGTAAGTCTGAGCATATATTCTGGATTTGCATTGATAACGTGCTACCTCTGTATGGCTCCTGGCAGGTTCCTGAAATCTAATCTCGACAGTCTCTGGAAAGAGCCAGAGAGAGACAGTTACTGTGAAGGCAGGTTCTTCAGCACAGTAGACAAGCCAGCAATTTATGGTGCAGTTTCCAATTAAAAATGCAGGCTCAACCCTCAGCTCTGCTAATTCATTGCTAGGCTACTCAGGAGCAGCTAGGCTATCTTCCCGAGGCTCAGTTTTGTCCTTTGTAAGAGGTGCTATTAACTTCACAGGTTATTGTAAACATCCAATGAGGTGGAGTGGAAACGTGGAGCTTCATCCTACCCTCGTTTCCTCACTGAGTCCATTTTTCTCTAGCACTGAAGCTCACAAGTTACCACTCACTTCGCTCCCTTTTTCTGGCTCTCACTTCTGCAGGTCAGACAGAAGAGCACTGCAGGGCTGCCCAGCACTTTACCCTGCCCTGGCAGCTGCACCCAGAAGGAATCTCAGTCTAATCTCCTGACCTCACCCCTAGGAACTGATCTCGCTCTCTAGGAGCCACTCAGAGCTCGAGGTCCTGCTGGCTGGTGGAACTCAGCTCCAGTGTCCCTTGTGGACTGCTGCTGTGTCAGGAGGCAGTCGAATGCCCTTTCATCCTAGCACTTGGGCAAGGCGGCCCAGGGCCAACGGAGGTTCTGTGGCAGGAGGTTACAGCAATTCAAAAGATCAAAACACGTTGCAGTAAAACATCTCAGCATCTTAAGTTAATCTACAACTAGTGAGTACCTAGCAGTTGTGCACTGGGGATTGCCTGCCTGAGACTCAACATCCCAGTTATCACCACAGTCATCTGTAAATAACAGGCCAGCGCTGCCCACACAGCCTCCTCGTGGGAACCACACTTCCCAGTTCATGGTGTGGCCTCTGGTTAAGTGAGCAACAAAGCTAAGCTTCCTTTTCCCTACTATCCTATCTTCTTCTCTCACACTTCTTCTTCTCATGCTGGTTTAATACCACTGAAAATTATTTTAATGATATAGACATTGTAATGCTATCATTTTAATTGTTTCAATGACATAGCTATTAACATTGGGTTACATTTCACGGTTTTACAATTTCCTGCCACCGAAAGATGTTAAACAATGCATTTAAAGTGCTGTAAAAGCACTTTGCCCTTCTCACGGGACCTGCTGCTTCTCGAATCCTCTGCTTGTGCATGAATCAAAGCCAAGTTACAGTCTCTATAACGTATAATGCAGTTTTTATTTCATTACTCTAAGGCAAAGGGCATTTCATCACCTGACTATCATCATCCAATTAGTGTACAGAAAGCAACCAGGCTCGCAGGCGTGGAGACACAGGCTGCTTCTGTCACCATGGCACCCTAAGCAGACACTTTCGTAAACTATTTGGCTCAAATTGAAAAAGAGCAAAACATTTTGGAAGTAAAACATCTCACTATTTTAAATTAATTCACAATAAAAATGTAGACAGAAGCTCATGTTCTGAAGGGTTCCATTTGCCATCCAAGGACAGGAGGGCTGGACATGCTGTCTCAGTTAGTTCTCTCCTTGATGGGACAAATATCCGACACCCAAAATGAGGGAGGGAAAGGGTTTTAGCTCAGTCAGCAGAGGCTTCCGTTCCTACTCGGCTGGCTCCAAGGCAGCGTGGCACAGGGCACAGAGCAGCTGTGGTGGCAGCGGCCAAGATCAAGCGAGCAGCAGGAGTGGCAGCAGTCCAGGCAGCTAGCTAGCCTCTCTCCCTTCCTCACGTCGTCATGCAGAGTATATTCCCATAAGCCCAACATTGGACCAGGAATCAATCACAAACCCCAGAAGCCGCCCTCCCCGTGACTGCTTGAGGCACTGGGGGGACATCCAGGCACAGACCAGGACAGCTCCAAACTCCTGTGACCTATAGCTCTCAAGGAGGAAATCACCGCAAGTGTGGGCAGTGGGTGGGCAGTGAGGGGCAGGCTCCGGGCTCAGTGGGGTGCCGCACGCACGGGGTGGCCCTTCAGGGGCCTGTCAGCAGCTCTACGCCTGTGCCTCAGCCTGGGCATGTGCCTCGGCCTGGGTCTAGGCCTGGGCCTGGGCTATGAGGATGGTACTGAGGTGCTTTGCCTGAGTGCTGGGCTACATAGTTTAAGTGATACCCTTCTTACCCAAGCAGGTGCACAATGCTTCATAGAAAAAAATTAATAAAATATTTATATAGCAAGTTACCCTGTAGAATTTAAAATTAGTTAAAAATTTAAAAAGCTCTGGGCCGTTTTCTTATATTTTCTGAAGATAATGAAAACGCCACAAAGATATAAAGCAACACTTTCGTAATATACTTTTAGGCAGAGACTTTGGAATGAATGGTTAAAATACACTGTACTTTTACTAAAGTTTCTAATGAAGTCTCTGTATGAAGGAAACAGTTTAGTCACATGTATTTCTTTAACTATCACCATTTTAAAAAGTGTTTACAAAGGAAGTCCATCAATAAGAAATGAAGTATAACTAATGTCATAACACAGAACACCTGCACTGTGCACTACGCTACTGCCCTAGAGAACACACACATCACACTCCAGTTCTGCACCTAAGAAATCCACTGGCATGGTACAAAACCGGCTGCAGCATTCCTCGGGCAAAGGTTTGAGATGATAGCATTCATTTATTTTTGTGTATGAAGTTCCCAAATTTCTGCATAAACCCTCGAAACTTGTTTTCATGGGGCTGATAGGCTTGATAAATGCCAGCATTATAGCTCAGCATAGGGCTGGCCCTGCCGTAACTGTTGCCTATAGACGCTGTCTTCCTCTCCGGATGGCTCCCGCTGGTGTTCGCAGCGCTGCCCGTTGGTTGAATGGAGCTCTCGATCTTACAAAATGGCTCAAAACGACTGTAAACACGCTGGTTTGTTGAGTGAGATCTCAGCAGCTCACTGGGCTTCGGCCTCGGGGAAGGGGGTAATCTCCGGTCAGGGGCCACAACTCCATGCTTCTCCCTGGAGTCTCGGTACTGAATCTGCTCAGTGTTAAACCTAGGGGTGGAGGCGTTCCCTCCGCGCTCCGAGAACTTCCTTTCAGCTGGACTTGGGGGAGGCTTTAGTTTACTGCTCTCATCTGAGGAGGAACTGACGCCCTGACGCGGGCTACCTGCTGCCACATCCTCCTTGCTCCTGTGGAGGCTGCCTTGAGAGTTTGAAGAAGAGGAGCGTTTCCTTCTTGGAGAGGAATCCACTTTGGGTTCGGATTTCTTTGGTCTTTGATTCTCTTCCCCCTCAGAAACTAATGTGTCAGAGCTACTGCACATTCTATAGAACGCAGACGCTTTGGTTTTCGATAGATTCTCTTTTTTTTCTGGGGTAAGGCTAAGAAAGGACCTTAACTTCTGAGATCCCTTTTTCAAAAACCCTGGAGAGCCCTTGGCATCCTTCTTTGACGTGAGGTCCTTGCTGGGCTCCTCTTTATTCACATCTAGTAAAGCAGCAATGGAAATGGACTTGGTGGTGCCCCCGGGGGGGCCCCTCTTGGTCCCCTCTTCCTCCTCCTCCTCCTCTATGTTGTGGGTCACATTGTGCATACTTTTGGAACTTTTCAGCAAGTCCTCTTTGGGCTTTTCTGGCTGTCTAACCCGGTTCCTCATGAGTGTGCTGTAGACGTAATTCTTACTGTTTCCATGATCTAAGCCTGATTTTGAGTGGTCAAAGGATGGAAAACTTCGTCTTTTAAGCAGATTTTCATGCTGTTGACTCTTGAACTTTTCTGTCTGCTTGTCCACGCCCAAGCCTGCATGCACATAGTGGCTCCCTTCTGTGTGGCTCTCCGCTGTTTGATCAAAAACCGCTGGCTGGTGCTCGGGAATCGGCAGCACCTGGGGCTTTGCAGCCTCTGCCGGTGTGGCGATCTTGGGGCCTGACTCAGGCAGCGGTTTCTGTGTCACACGCCGTGCGTCTGCAGGGCTGGCGGGGGTCGGCCTGGGTCTGTCACTTCCCTGGGAACCAATGATAGTCGAATTCGAGGAGTCCGTTGTGCAGCTGTTAACCTCCTGCTGCTCCGGTAAAGTTGGTTTAAAGGCCAGAGAGGAGCGAAGGCGGGAGTGTGCGTAGCGGGCGCTGGCTTGCAGACTCTCGGGACTCTCGCAGGCTTCCCCTCGATCGGCCGAGGCCACGCCGTTGGAGTCCGGCCCCGCTTCCGAGGTGTCGTTCAAGTAGGACTCGATCCTGCGGTTCCGCAGGAAGGACTTGGTGGTGCGCTCCAGCGTGGGCATGCGCTGCTGCAGCAGGCGCACCTGGCTGTCGGTCCCGTTGAAGGACCTGCGCACGGCGGAGTTCCTCTCGGGCAGGTGGGCGGCTCTGCGCTGGGCCAGCCGGTCGGCGAAGCTGGGGGCCGCGGGGCGCGGGAGGCCGGCGGGG